GTATAAATTGTATAAAAAATGTATAAATTGTATAAAAATGGTATAAATTGTATAAAAATTGTATAAACTGTACAAATTGTACAAATTGCATAAATTGTATAAATTGTCACACCCCCTCGTTTCAGTTTGTCCCCACAGCTCTCGGTTTCTGGGCATCGTCCCTGCTTTATTTTCCATGAAATTCTTTTGGTTTTGGCCAACTCTGTCGTTCCTGCTCCTTTATTTTCACCCCTCAAACCTTCCATGCTCCGATCCCAAGAGTTTGGTTGTGGCCACCCTCACCCCCCTCCCCACCCTGGCTCGGCAGGAAATTAGGGAATTTGGGAAATTGAGAATTAAAAAAAAAAATCGAGAAACGCTTTGGCTAAAAGGGGGGCACTGACAAAACTCAGTGTTTGCAATAACGAGGTGGGATCAAGGACAAAAACACCCCAGGACCAGGGGGTCCCCAGACCCCCGAGCCAGGAAAACCGGGATCAAAATCCAGAAAACGACCAAAGGACTAAAACCAGAGCGTGGGCAAGGAGGCAAAGGTGGAAAGTTCAAAGCCATCCCAAAAACCCACCCGAGCGACCCAAAAGGACCAGTGTGCAGCCACAAAGAGGAGTGGAATAATTTATAATAATTAGGAATAATTTCAATATAAAACGGGGATGGATCATGAATATCTATGGGGGGAATCGTGCAGTCCCAGTTTATAGAGAATAAAAGGTTTCCGTGTTTTTTTGGGGGAGGGATCCCCCACTCACCTCAGCTCTGAACAAACCCAAGCCTACCCTGAACTGAGTTTTTGGGTTACTGAGAATTTTCCCACATTTTTCCCCACGTTTCGCCGGGCCCGGGCGGCGCTGCTGTGGACACACACATTTATAGAGCTGGGGAATCACAGCTTGGAAATTCTGGATTTCTCCTGACCCTCAGCTCCATTCCCAGGCTGACAAGCTGACTGCAGCTTCAGTTAGGGAGGAAATCTCCCAGAATTATATTATAGTAAAAAACAGAGTGGAATTCATCAGAAATAATAAAGATTAACCCCTGGTGTCTTGCCCGTGGGATACATCCTGAGGTGCTGTCCCAAATTTTTTTCCCAATTGTCCAATGAAATAATGTCCTGTCCTAGCTCCAAATAACTTGCTTTAAACACGGAATAACTTGTTTTAAACACGGAATAACATGCTTTAAACATGGAATGTCTGTGCAATAAATTGGCTTTTTTCCCCTCTTTTTTGCTGTCCTTTCTCTCTCTTTGCAGCACAGTGACCACAGACACAGAGCTGGGGAATCACAGCTTGGAAATTCTGGATTTCTCCTGACCCCCAGCTCCATTCCCAGGCTGACAAGCTGACTGCAGCTTCAGTTAGGGAGGAAATCTCCCAGGGTGACAATAGAGTCAAAAACAGAATAAAATTCATCACCAACATTAACCCCTGGTGTCTTTCCCGTGGGACACATCCTGAGGTGCCGTCCCAAATTTTTTCCCAATTGTCCCATGAGCTCCTGTCCTCTCCTGGCTGCACTGACACACTTTAAATCCGGGCTGTCTGTACAATAAATTGTTTTTTTTTTCCCCTAAAAATCCCCGTGTGTGTCGCTGTCCCATCTCTTTCCTCCCGGCCCCTCCACTCACCCGGTACCTGTTGGCGCTGATCTGCTCCACCTGGAAGCGCTTGGCGCAGTTGCACTGGGCCACCTGCCTGTTCACCTGCGGGGCCACGCCCAGCTCAGAGCCAGGTGAGAGCCCCGCCCCTGCAAGCCCCGCCCCCCGGCGCAGCCCCCACCTCGTCCTGGATGCGGTCGGCGTCGGCCGAGCGGCGCAGGGGGTCCCGGTTGGGGTGCAGGGCGCTCACGAACTCGTAGTAGTCGATGAAGCCGTCGCCGTTCGTGTCGAAGATGGCGGCCACGGCGTTCATCTCCAGGACGTTGGTGGGGAACTCTGTGGGGAGGGGGCACGGGGACCCTCAGCCCCCCCAGCGCCGGGTGGAATCCGGGCTTCCGGGGGGGAGTTTTGGGAGATGCAGGTGGAGTTTTGGGGTGAATTTGGGTTTGAGGGAATCCAAGCTGGATTTTAGGGGGATCCAGGCAGAGTTTGGGGAGTCTCAGGTGAGGGTTTGGGGGATGCAAGGTGGGGTTTTGGGTGGAATGTGGGGAATTTTGGGGGTCCCGGGAGAATTCTGGGGGTGAACTTGTGACATTTTGGGGGTCCCGGGTGGATTTTGGGGTGAATTTGTGAGGTTTTCGGGCATCTG